GGGTGTGGGTGTGGGTGTGGGTGTGGGTGTGGGTGTGGGGTGTGGGGTGTGGGTGTGGGTGTGGGTGTGGGTGTGGGGTGTGGGTGTGGGTGTGGGTGTGGGTGTGGATGGGCTTAAAGAAATTCTATTCACACCCACACCCACCTCTCTCCCCCGCGCCCACACCCCACACCCACCCACACCCACACCCACACCCACACCCACCCACACCCACACCCACCCACACCCACACCCACACCCGCACCCACACCCTGAGCCCGTCCAGAGCCTTTTCTTTCCTTCTCATAGTATTTTGTTTTTCAGAATTTTAGAGGAAGCTACATCAAAATTCATCGATAGATTTCAAATTTCATCCAAAAATATGCATCTGTGTAGGAGTTATAATGTTTTGAATTTTTATTACATGCTGCTAAAATTTCAGCTAAAATTTAAAACATTATAACTCCTACACAGATGCATATTTTTGGATGAAATTTGAAATCTGTCGATGAATTTTGATGTAGCTTCCTCTGAAATTCTGAAAAACAAAATACTATGAGAAGGAAAGAAAAGGCTCTGGACGGGCTCAGGAAAATGCTAATTTTTTTCGCAAACTCCAATTACAAATTTTTTCGATGAAAACTCATCATTTGGGTCCAATATCATATTTCTATAAGTTTCATATGGGGCCCATGCTCTGGAGCTGAGATCCAACATACTAAAAAATCCTGGTTACGCCACTATTATTAATGCGCAGCACTCTATAGTAATCGTTCGCAATTTTTTTAAAATTTTCTCGATCCTCCACTCAAGTCGCTATTTTGTGTCGCAATGATCTAAAGATCGGAGAGTCATACGATTTTCGTTCAAATATTGCTAGAAAGCTCCATATTTGTATAGGATCAATTTTTTTTCGATACTTCGATACGAAGTTCCGTTTTTTTTCGGGATGACAAAAACGAGACTAGTGGCCACGAGATAATGAAAACGAGTTTCAATATCAACAATGATTAGATCGAATATGGCTGCCATCTCTGGAAGTTTTCATTTTATCGATGATCGGTAATTAACATTTATAATAACTATGAAGGAAACAAATAAAAGAAACCAATAACTCTGCTTTTTATTCTTCTATATGATCTAATTAAAAATTAAAATCTTAGCATAAGTGTAAGATGAGTTATATAAAGTAAGCTTTATCATTGTCATTTATCATTGGGTAAGGAAAATAAACGACACAATCAATAGATTTTGTTTTGTATCTTCATATAATTTTGAAATTATTCATAGAAGATCAATGAAGACATGTATTCGTATTTGATATTAAAAAAAAACAAAAATAAACAGATAGAAAAAAAATATTCATTTGTTTACAATTTCATTTAATTTTTCATTTTTCCAACAGCAAAGATAACTATTCTATATTTGTGCTATATAGTTTACATTATTATCAAGATATTAGATAATGAGTACTGACATAGTATGTAGAAAAAAAGACAATACAAACTTTGCTATCATTAAATTACTGTTTATTTGCCTGCGACATCATAAACAGTCTCATCAAGAAAATTATACAGGACAATGTATTGATGTTATATAATAATTTTTTCTAATGGCAATAAATTCTAATCGATGCTTTATTCTTAAACAGATCGTAAGATGTGCATATTTATATAAAGTTGCCTACATACCCTGACAATGTATAATTTTCTATCCAATATATCTGCATGTATCTATTTGACTTATGAAAAAATTGTTGGAGATTTCTTTCAATTTTGATTTTATCTCAAACAACATCTTTTGATTATGAGATATTATCAAAATAAAACTTTATGATACGTCTATATTGTCAAGTGTATCATAAATCTTTGTGATTCTTCCGTAGCAGATCTATATGAGACTACCTTAAAAGATTGCGTTCTTCTCATAAGAATTAGGTAAAAACTAAACCGATTTTTTCTACATATTCCTTTGCGAATGTAAATATTTTTGAAGTTCAAGTTCAAATGAACAAGCTAAATGTTTTTCTCTTTCTTTTTTTTTGTTAAGAAATAAGATGAGACGTCCAATCTTCTAAAAAATCCATTTAAATTGAAATATAAATTATACTGAAAATTATCAATCTTTGAATCATCTTAAACAAAAACTGTCTCATTTTCATGATAATATAAGTGCTATTTATTTCAATATGATAATTAGATGCAAGAACTTTTTTTAGAACAATTGTACCTGTTAACTATCATTAACCGAATAGAGGTGCAATGAAATGTCTCGTTGCTAGTCATTGTCTAATGTTGAACAATCCTAACCATCTCAGATTAAACTGAAACAAATACTAATCCGTGCATTCCATATGAAATGAATGTCATTGAACAAGTATAAGTTTTTTCGCTTCTTTGTCGTCATTCGTCATCTTCTCTTTCGGTGAATGTTTTATTGTTTTTATGTGCCGTCCTTTACATTGAGCGCCCATTTGATAAGAATTTTAAAAAAATAAAAAAGAAGGCAAACACTTGATACGCTGCAAAGGTAAAATACGAATCATTTGAAAAGGGTGGGTATGGGTGTGGATGTGGGTGTGTTAGAGCGGAAGACACACACCCACACCCAACACCCCACACCCACACCCACACCCACACCCACACCCACACCCACACCCACACCCACACCCACACCCACACCCACACCCACACACACACACACACACACCCACTCCCACACCCACACCACACCCACACCCACACCCACACACACCCACTCCCACACCCACACCACACCCACACCCACACCCACACACACCCACTCCCACACCCACACCACACCCACACCCACACCCGCACCCACACCCTAATATTTCATTGTAATTCATTTTTTGTCATTAGTTTATGATAAAAGCAAAAAAAAATTTAATACTTAGTTAATAAACTTATCTATATGCTAATATTTTTTTTTCGTACTTAACTTTCCTCGTGCTCAACTTTCCTTGTGCTCATCTTTCCGGTGCTGATCTTTCCAGTGCTTAACTTTCCTCGTGCTCATCTTTCCGGTGCTGATCTTTCCAGTGCTTAACTTTCCTCGTGCTCAACTTTCACCCATCCCCTACTGAGTACTACGGAATTATGAAAAAAAATTGACGTGCGATCTCAAAGAATGGTTTTAGGAGACTTATTGAAAAATCTTCAACAATGAACCCTTTTCTATAGGAAATTTACCGAAGCTCGCTTAGAAATTATTCAAAGAGTTTTATCATATCGATTTTGTGAATTAATAGTGCATTCATTTAAGCTCATTTTTTTCTCGATACTACAGAATAGTATCTTGCGATCAATATCTCAAGAATGGAAGAACAATTTTTTTTCAAACGGCTTGCATCAAAATTCTTGAAACTTCCCACTCCTACAACACATATTAAATTGAGCAAAATCAAATGACCTCGATCGAACAAGTTAGGTGGTACCTTATATGAACTGGGTCATGTAGAAAAATAGAACAAATTCCATCAAATAAAAAAGTCCACAATCTATTAACAGGTTTGTTTGGCTATTTTCTTTATCTTTTAAAAATGAATTCAAAATAAAATAGACGAATGCTTATCAACAATGAGTACAGTGGTTGGCGAATTTCACATCCTCCATTATCAATAAACCTAAATCGAGGTCGTTTCTTGTCAAACAAGTCAAAGTACTATGTGTTGAAATTATTCAACAACAAGTATCAATAGTACACATGATTTAATTCCTCATGATAAAAACCATATTAGATTTGTTTTTTTATCTTTTATCATATTATACAACAAAAAAAATTTATTAGAAATTTTTCTAGAAGTTAGATCATGTTCACAATTTCTATTCTGATTTGAATATATTTTCTAATGTTAGATAGGCATGGTGCTATTACCCTACTTGCTATTTCTTGATGCTTTAATAAAAATAGTATTTGATTCAATTTTAACTTGGTTCTTTTAAAAATATTTTCTAGGCAAGGAAGTGATGAAGAGAGTAATCAACAAGAGATGGATGTGAGAGTGTAATTAGGCGTGAGTATTTTCTTCTTCACATCCACACCCATACCCAAATGATCGTTTAATAAGTGAAAACGTCATAAAGGGAATAAAAGAATAGAATAAAGAAAACTCAATTCAAATGCCTATCTTTCACTTTTACTTCTGTTAATGTTTATAAAGAATATCTTTATTAATTTGATCAATCGATGTTAATCCACAACAAGCCATATCATAAACTAATTCACGTTTTAATATATCTAATACTCTTCGAACACTATCTTGTCCGCCACAAGCCAAACCATATAAAATTGGTCGACCGATCAAAACAGCTCGTGCACCTAATGCTAATGTTTTTAACACATCAGTTCTACTTCGAATACCAGTATCAACAAATACTAAATAAATAAAGAATCGTTTGGTAACTTTCGTAAGAAAAATTCGAAGTTTCACTCCCATATACACTTTTCTCTTTTACATATCAAGTTGATGGTGAAAAAATTTTCTTAAATTTGAATTATATCAACTGTGCCAAAATATTTACAACATTTTTTATCTCAGCATAGGTGAATGATAGAATCTTGATCTTTTTTTAAAAAAAAAGGCGTCGCGAAATACTTCACAAACATTTTATAAGCAGCAATCTCTACTGACACGCTATGATGGCTTTTCTCATACTCAAAATGTACAACTTACATGATAGCACTACTTCCCATCGTGTCGAGCATAATAAAAATGTTTGGAAGATTCTTTTAAAAATTATTTTGCGTATGCCTAGGCGAAAGAAAATGATAACATCTTGCTTTTTTTAACGATGAATCACCAAAAGCTCTATAAAAGCTGTATGAACAAATCTTTAGTGCGAAACAAAAAAATCTTCCATACATTTTCATTACGTACAATATGGTGAAAAGTAGTACTATTATGTAGATGATACATTTGTCGTATGGGAAAAACCATTAGAACATGTCAGTATTGATTTGTTAATGTAAGTTTTGTAGAGCTTCTCATGGTGCATCTTAAAAAAAAAAATAAAAGATCAAGATTTTATTATTTTTCTGTGCAAAGATATTCGCAAAATAAACTATTTTGGTATGTTCGGTATATCGTTTATTTGTTGCTAGTGATGATGAAGCAGTAAATTTTAATTTTGCAGTCCTTTTTGATGAAATAGAAATACCATGGTTTATCGATTTGCGATTCAGTTTTTGTCATAAGATTTTTATCTAATGAGTTTAAAACTTTAATAATAATCCCACCCTTGCACGTCAAAACATTACACATATAATATTATTTTCTTATTATCTCTGTTTAAACAAATACTTTATATAAGATTAGTTAATATAATTGTAATTAATGACTTTAGTGACTTCTTTTTTTGGTTCAAAATATTGCTAACAGCCAAATATTAAAAAAAAGAACAAAGATCAACTCCTGAAATGAGGAGATTTTTGATCAGGAGACAAGTCCAAAAATCAGAAGATTTAGCAAGCTTGAGCTACTCTAACAATATAGAGAGTTTAATCAAATCAGAGGCTTTTTAAAAAGGAAGCAGATAGATAACTTTTCTCATCCTAACTATGTCGAGACGTTTTAAAAAACTTTATTCTGCCTAAGCTTTGATATCTTAAGAAAACACTTTAAAAATCTGCTAGATTTTTTCAGTTGTCATTAAAACAAGCCTACCTTCTGCACGTCCATCCACAGCATTGACGACATCTTCTAGACATTCAATAGCTGGTGGTGCTGTATCAATTAGTCGACCATCATGGTTACTAAAACCAATAATAGCAAAAGATATATTCAGTGAACTGATCATATGCAAAGCAGACCTGACAATAATTCCATTTGCTCCATATTTGATTGCTAATTCTGCATGAATTGGTGAGAGTATACCTTTGCAAATAATTGATAATTGTGTCAATTTTCTTATCCATTCAATATTTGCCCATGTTACCGAACCGGTACCAAAATGTTGCTTAACAATTATGCCAGGTATATTCAAATTTGGTATTGACATATTCTTCATTAATTCTGGATCAATATTCTTTGATGCCTCTTCAAATAATGGTAATACAAAATCTCGAATACGTTCATGTGGTTGATCACATGTAATAACAATTGCTCGATATCCTTTTTTATCAGCTTATGGAACTATTTGTTCTAGATTTCTACAGGTGTTGTTAAACAAATATGTAAAAATTTTGGACCTAAGATAATTAAGTACATTGAAGAGAAAATGAGATAGAAAAGAAAAAAAAGGATATACCGAGTGTTTGTAAAACATATTCTTCTGGCATATTTGAAAACGTCCAATTGTAAGTAAAAATACATTGAGTTTCAGTTGCAGCACGAGCTGTAGCAACTTCACCATCAACTTGAGCAAGGCAATGACAAGCAGATGTAGCAATTAGAATTGGTGATTCATATATCAACCTATAATAAATGTTGACAAATGCATTTTGAGTTCATAGTGACGAAGCAAAAGCTAGAAAAAATCCGTCTCTATAGGAGTATCACAGCTTTTTATATTTCGACAGTTTCTCACCCAAATATAGTTGTTTTTAATGAAATTTCACTAACATCTATCAAAACTCTTGGCATAATTCTTAATTGTTTATCAAAATAATGTCTACATGCTTGATATGTATGTCCTTGACCAGCTTTGTAGTCATAGTAATAAAAACGATGTGGCATCATTGATTTCTTAGCTAATTCTTCGAAATCAGATAATGTTTTACATTTTAAATATTCATTTTTCTATATCAATAATGAAAATTAATGAATAATTAAATAAATAAACATACTCGTTTTTCATCTTGTTTTTTCTTTTTCTTTGTTTAAAATAATTTAGAAGAATTACAATACTTGTCAATGTTGTACCAAAACATAAAATATACAATTGACTGTCTGAAAAATTAAAAGTTAAATTTCTAATTACATCGATAAACATGCTTACTTTTCATTTATTAAAAAAATGCTCTATGTCACATCAAAAATATCGTTATTTCAATGTGGAAATTTTCAAGTAGGATAAAAAACTGAAAAAAAAATATGTATAAGATCATATAGAAATTTTTCAAGTTCGATTTCTTAATAATAGATGAATATATTTGCTAATAAATTGAATTTATTTTATTCTTATAAGAGAACTTAGATGATCTTTTTAATTTGTATCTGTGAATATTGAATTCGAATATTTTCATCTTTAGTAAAAACAGATTGTTCTGTGTTGATAAGCATTACGAAGAATGAAAAAAAAACAAACGAATACCCATGTAAATATTTTTTTGATAAAAACGCGTCTGAGTTGCGTTTCGTTGCGTCTCAATCCCAGCGAAGAAACGCAAAAAAGGCGTCCCCAGTGAAACATTTGCTGCGGCTAGATGCGGTTGGAGAAAATCGCGTCTACATGCGGTTGTAAAAAACCGCGTCTAGACGCAGGAAATGTTTCACTGGAGACGCGGTTCTAAAACAAATTGCGTCTAGACGCGGTTTTCTCCAGCCGCGGCTAGACGCAAGAAATGTTTCATTGGAGACGCGGTTCCAAACCAAATTGCGGTTAGACGTGATTACAAATTAAATCGCGTCTAAACGCGTTCGATTCGACATTCAAGATTTAAAAAAAATATTGCAATCCGTCTCAGGTTTGAACTGAGTCGCCATCGATATCCCCTAACGATGGTCTTTACCTCACTATAGGCGAACGGAAGGTTGAAATGTTGATTTATCTAAAACGATAGAAATGAGATTAGAACAAGTGAACTAGCAATTAAGAAGCAAGTATACATACCATGAAGCCACATGTGACCACAATCGTTGTCGAATGAAACAGAAAGTATATATGAATCGTGACTTCATATCTATATTATGTACAAATGCATTTATCAATAGAACGTTTTCTGCCTAAATTATATCTCATTTGTTAATATTGATATTCTTGTATGAAAATAAACTTGTATAAAATAAATTGCGTATATTAAAATTTCTTTAAAATTTTCGGCAACTTTTTCTTTTGCAAATAATTTTCATTTATTTTGTCGTGTAAGACTATTATTTATAATACTAAATAGTGCCTATCTTCTAGAACTTATTATATAGCTATTATATTTTATCAAATATCATGTACTTTTTTCGTCTTTCTTTTTTATTATATAAAAAAGCGTTTACCAAAGCTTTTTTCAAAGCATGTTAACATAGAAAGATTTTTTTTTAATTTCTAAAATGTCATCTTCTTTGAGGTTTTTTAGCAAATTTATATACGTCATTAGAGCACTTAGTACAGAGTTTGCGAGTGTTTTTCTTATGTATACACAATGGATAAGGTAGAGACGATGTGTACGTCTAGGAAACGTAGAAAAGAGGTTTGTCTATTAGATTTTCTATTCGGGTTTGAGTATCTTCTTGTGTATCTTCTTTCCGTAGCAATATCAAATGAAAACAACACACACGATTCGAAATGAATTGAACACTACGCCAACCATGACATTTAAACACTTGAGGTACAGTTATTTTATGACAAAGTATATTTTATCTTTAAAACAAAGTTCAAATTGAGGACATAATTTGTAACTTAAATTTCAAAAAGAGTTTTTTGATCAAAAAGTGAAAATAAATTTTATCTTTCTTATTTTAGAGCAGACTTCTTGATCTACGGTTTGATGCAAAACTTTTTTATATTTATCCCTTATTTTGAAAACAGGCTATCGATTAGTAGAAATAGTACAGAGTAGAGAGATAGTCTCATTATACTAATGGCCACTCGTATTACTTTTTTCATACATTAAAAGATGGAGTTTCTAAAGAAATTTATTATGCTACGATAAAAACATCTTTCTCTTATATAAGTACCTAAATCTCTAAACCAAACATTTCTTTCTATTCTTGCCAAAGTCCACCAGAGTATAGATAATAAAATTTTATGTCTTCCTTTAAATAGTTTTTGGTCAATCATGTATAGACGCACTCTCACGTAAAATCACATCCAAATGCGTCTAAACAGTATTATTACCTGCGTACAAACGCGGTTCCATAAAAAATGTGTTAAGCAACGGCTCAGATCTCCATCTGACCGCGTCTTGATGCGTTCTATCTTAAACCGCATCCAAACGCGCTTGAAAAATTTTAATAAAACGCGTTTTCATGCGGCCTCGTAAAAAATCGCGTCCAGTCGCGATTCAAAATCTCCTGCGGTCGCGTCTAGATGCTTTTTTATTTTTGGTCGCGTTCAGACGCGAATAGAAATCGATTGTAACCTCGTCCGAACGCGGTTTCATTTACAATCGCGTCTAGATGCGTTTGAAAATTTTCTTCAGTTGCGTATAGACGCGACTCTAAACGAAACCGCGTTCAAACGCGGTGAAAACCGATTTTTACTGCGTCTGAACGCGTTTTCATTTGCAATTGCTTCCAGATGCATTCGAAAATTTTCTTCAGCTGCGTATAGACGCGATTGTAAATGAAAACGCGTTCAGACGCGGTGAAAATCAATTTTTAGCGCGTCTGAACGCGGTCTACAATGAAACTGCGATTACACGCGTATATTCTGCGTCTGGTGTTTACATGGGTAGATAAGATGTCGTTGAAACATGTTAGAATATGGTGTTACACAAAAAAAGATAAAAAAAATTGCATTTTTAATGAATATCTCAAAGATCATAAAAAAGAAAGTAAGGACGGGAGCACTTTTTCGAAGGACGTGCGGACCAGAGATGAGCGAGCCGCGGTTTCACACCGCACCGCACCGCCCCGTCCCGCCCCGCCGGCGGGGCGGGGCGGTGACGGTGCGTCGCAAGATCTTGCGGTTTCCCCGCCCCTTGGCAATATTGAGTTTTTTTAACATTTTTCTTAAATGTTTATTTTTTTTCTATTTCGAAATTTAATCTTTATATACAGGGTGGCCTATAAATAATAGCATAACGACAAGAAGTTTAAATATTTCTACTTCTGGTCATTCAAAAGGATTCAATTTTTTTCATTCGGATAATGTAAATAAATCCAACTGTTAAGTGTTTCAATTGACGTCAACAAAGCAACTTTACTAGTTGTCAAGTAAAAAAATACATATGAAATATTGTGTAGATGACTTTTAGTTGTCGTTTGACAGAATGACTTGAAAAAATTCAAATAAATCTGCTGAATGATACTATATGGATGACATTGAGAGAAATTTCTCAACCAGTCAATTTGAAAGTTAGCAATTACAATGTTTCGAAGTCTCAGACGTGGAACACTGATTTTTGTTGGAAACTTGCCAACTGGGTAACTAAAGGCTTTCAGATACGCGTTTTAGTTATCAAGCACTAGTTCCAGTATTCAAAGTAGCTAGTCCAGAAAGTTTTCTATATGTACATCAATGTAGTATCGTTTAGAAGATTTGTTTGAATTTTTTCAAGTCATTCTGTCAAATGATAACTAAAAATCATCTACACAATATTTTATATGTGGTTTTTTTACTTGATAACTAGTGAAGTTGCTTTGTTGACGTCAACTGAAATACTTAACAGTTTGATTTACTTACATTATTCAAACGGAAAAAAATTGAGGAGAGTTCTATTACCAACCAAAAAATGAGCCCATTTGCATGAACAGAAGTAGAGCCATTTAAATTTCTTGTTATCATGTCATTATATGTAAGTCACCCTGTATTTAAATTATGCCTTTTTATCTCAGGAAATATAATAGTAATTATGAAAAGTTACTAAAAATTTCATGAATAAATGACTTCTGACGATTGACTTTAGACGGGGCGGGGCGGTGACGGTTTTATTGTTGAATAGGCGGGACGGTGACGGTGCGAAACTTTATCAACGGGACGGGGCGGGGCGGTGGCGGTGTGACTTTTTGGCTGGCTCGCTCATCTCTGGTGCGGACATAAAGCAGCGGACAAGAGTTAAAATTCAACGTATTTTAGATTTTTTTCTATAATGTTAAGCATCTAACTCAAATCCAGATAGTGATTTTAATAGCCAATGGAGTTTTCTATCTCAAATATTCAAAGGTGGCCTATGATGACAAGGTTTCTAAAAACCTGGACACGGTCTTTTTCAGGTCAAAGAAGACTTTATTGGAGCTGTTTTTAAACAATACCACCGGGTGTGAGTGGTTGAGGCGCGGAGGTGTGAGGTACGGGTATGGTTGTGGGTATGGGTTATTTATATCATAGCTACCCTATTCTCCACACCCTCACATCAAAAAAAGCTTTGTGGTCACATTTTCGACGGCATTCAAAAGGCACGTTGTTAGCTCTATTTATAAATCGCTATACCCATGTACTTTGTAAAAAAAATCCCTTTTCTGAAAAACCCGAACAGGATTGCCGAGGTCGCAGGAATCGATATAACTCCTCACAGCTTATTCTCGGGTACCGATCTCGCAAACCAATACAAGATTTTTCAGCTCACGACAGTACCAACGCACATGAGAGAAGGCCTCTCTCCAGCAAAAGAACGCATTTCGAGGGTGTAGGTGTTCTACCTTCGGTGAGACACGTACACATCCACACCCTATACATGTGTTATTTTGAGAACAATAACTTTGAATGTACTATAGGTTATATGGAACAAGATGAAGAATTAGCGGAAAGAGTAGCAGAAATTCAAGATGCACTATATACGAAAATTGAATTTTGCGTTAAGTTTATACGATTGATTTCATTTGATTAGGGTGTGGATGTGGGTGAGCGAGCGGGTGCGGATAGCTATATAAGAGTTACCCACACTCTACACCCACAGCCACCATATGATGCCTTATATTACTTTCCAGTAAAGTCGATAGACTTTCCGCACCAAATGAGTTTCCGGAAAAACAAATTGTCTTTCCGCACTAGAAACATTTCTGGAAACCCAAAATGAATTTCCGAAAAACACACTTTCGCTTTCCCAAAATAAAAAACTCGACCCAAGCAAAAGCGACTTCCGAAAACACAAAGATCATACCACGGAAACACAGAATGTGGTTTCCAAAA